AGAGAAAATTATTATAAATGGTTATAAAAAAAAGTGAGGCATGATTATTTTTTTTATTATTATCAGAAATTTAATATGACAAAAAAAAATTTTTAAGAAAAAAACATTTTCTGATTAAATTTTACTCTTGTCAAAATCTCCTTTAGCCTTGATTACTACGGTACAAATTTTTGGCATTCATTGCAAAAGTTAAAGTATAAGTTTGATAATTGATTCCATTCTTTTTTCAATGACACGGAAAGCTCATTTGTTTTTCACTCTTCTGTTAAGTTAATCCGATGCTAATTCTGTGGGTGGCTTCAGACCTTTGAACTCTAGTGTGTGTGTAATTTTTCTAGTTTAATTGTTCACCTATATTGCATATGATCCAGTATTGTACATAATAAGCAGTGGGGGGGGCATGAGACCCTTGGATTTTATATATATATATATATATAAAATGATGGACTCTCCTACCAACCAGCGTATGAAGGCTTAACAGTCTTTTCAATTCATTTTTTTATGAATATACTTTAAATGGCACTTAAGTCCAACATTAAGCTGCAGATGATAGGATTTTGAGTGGGCAGGTTGAACTTTGGTGTTATATTTTATATGTGTTTGCGTGTTCTACTTTGAAAAATAGAAAATCTTATTCAATAAAACTGTTCTTAGCCTGCATGTGGTCTCAGGATGACTGTCTGCTCAAATCAAGTGGTTCTCATGCATGTTGGTCATCACATCCACAAAGATAGCTTTCAACAAGTCCTTGGCATTGTCTAGCAGTTGGTTGGTCTCTCACTCGATGACCCCCCCCCCAGACATAAAAGTGCAGCAGTTTCAAACCATGATAACTAGAAAGCGACATGTTGGAGAGTTGACATGAGAGAATAAGCAAAATCTGCTTGTGACATGTACAACCTCTTCTGGGTCATATTCTCGATGTAAGAATTTGTGTTAACCAATTCTAATGAAAGAAATGGTGCAACATGACATGCTCGCAACCCCTAGTACTATAACAAACAATGTGAACTTGGTGTGCCTCAGTGATGCCCACACAGTCACCTTTTCTTTCACTTGTTCACCTTCTGGTCAAAGTTCTCATTGGAGAAGAACTAGACCATGCAAGGATACCTGGGGGTGCTTCAACATGTTCAACAAGTGCTTCATTTTGATCTCACAGTTTTCCCAGGTTTTTTTTTTTTCTGACATGGATTTCCCTCTCCTCATCACTTAATGTCTGATAGTGGACTCTACTTATTGCTAAGGATATGGCTGACAATGTCCTGGACTTTCTGGATTTATGATGTCTGATGACTTACAATGCTTCTTTCGCTTGATCCCAGATATGTCCCACCAGAAGTTTTAAGCTCATTCTTAACCTTAAAAATGAAGGATCTAGCTGCTTTCATAAAGCTGGCTGGTTCCCAGTTGTTCTGGTAAGTTAAGGATAGTGGCATAAGCACAATGTGCTTTTTTTATTTCATACTTCAGAAAGTTACCATGTTAATGTTCTTGATAAACTTGAAAAATGAATGAAAATGCTAAAATTTGGCACGTTGTGTAAGATTAGGTTAGGTCATCTTCTATTTAAATTCAGCTAAAGATATGTTCTGAAAGACCCAATATATATTATACACTTATATACACTATATCACATTTTATCATGTGTCAATATTTTTACTGTATATTTGAAGAAAAAGTTGCTTTAAATTACCTATTTATTTTTAATTTTCATTGACTCAAAAGCAAGATAATTAAGTAGACAAACATCCCTTAGAAATTTACCTTTCTTTAAAAAATTATCTCTTAGTTGCTATCTATGACATACACACACACACACACACACACTGATGAGCTGTGATACAGCAAAACAGTCTATCTGTGGATGACAATATACATGCTCCCAAAAATTTATTTCAATTGAGCTATCTGGGGAAGTTTGAGTTCGTAAATAGTGACTATTACTGCTAATAATACAAGACTCTTCGGTAAAACGAATTGAATTGTCTCAGTCACTATGTGTTTATCTAAAAAAAATAAATAAATATGCTTAAATTCACTATCAACCCTGCCATGCCCCAACAATTTAGGGGTAGAATCTCCAACTGATGCCAATTCAGCTGGGTTTTCATTCTAGCTAGAGGCAACTGGATGTCTAGCCACACTGATAAGCTGTGATACAACAAAACAGTGTCTGTGGAGGACTATAAACACACGAAGGTGTCTTTAATATACATAGAAAAACAAATAAAAACATAATGGTTATGTTTCCAGGACTCAAGAAAATGCTCTATCAAATGATGTAACAATTTTTAGTTTTCTAGAAAGAAGGCTTTCAATCCATAAAATACATATTTTAGCAAAGACTAAAAAATAAAAAAAATATCTCATTAAACACCATTCATTTTGTATGTTTTACATAACAAAAAAAAATACAATAGCAGCTCATAGAAGATAAACATTTATGGAGAATATTTTTGTAAATAAGTAAAAGAATTTTTACAAATTCAATGGGGAAAAAAGTCATGAGTAAATTCTCTTCATATTCAACTAAAACATTTACTTACTGCTATATTTTGTAAAGTAATAAAAAGTATGATTTTTAAACAACAATGGTGTGTCTATAAAATTGCTGTATAAAATTGTTACCAGTTGCTATTAAGAAAATGACTGTAAATAAAGTGAGCTATTAATATAGACTTCCTTCTCTAGCTTTTCTTACAGATATCAGGTCATTGCAAGGTCAGGTATCCACCCTGGTACACAAACCCTTAACTCAAGAAAGAGCAAAATGATACTTTGTTCCCAATGTGATTTGACCCAACAAAGTTTACATTGAACTCACCAGAGACAGAATTTTTTTTCAAGCCATAACTAAATCTACAGGTATGAAGCAATATGCATGCAAATAAATATAAATTTTATTATGCACACCAATGTTATTACCAGTAATTCTCACAAATGATTGTAATTCTGTACAATACAATAAAATTGGATATTTTTTAATGAGAGGGAGGTGGGTGAAGAAGGTCAATATAAATATCATAAACTCTCTAAATCATGGTTATCAAGTATTTAAGACTGCTGTAAAGAGTTTACCCTCTGTCCTGATCTAAATTTTAGCTTCTCCACTGAATTTATAACATCTGAATTCCCATGGTGGGGAACCCAATCTAAAAAGATTGCTATGTATTGGTTGATAAGGCACAGTTTTATTTTATTTTTTTTTGTACAGATAATGAGTCATTGAGTATTACTACAGATGAATAATTTCAAATTACAACACTGTAAATTCATGAAAACTTTATAAAAATTCTAACAAATTTAAAAAAAAAATGAAATGTAACACAAGCCAAGGTTTCTAATATAGAAATGGTGTTAGGATCTCATCAATTTATAGTTGAATTGGTTAGATGCAACCGTAAATAATTTATGGTAAATTCTATGCTAACAGTTTATTTTTCCTCTCACTTCTTTCTAGCTCTATGCTTTCCAAACAAATTTAATCTTCAAAAATTTAAATGCAATGCTAATTGCTATCTACTGTCCTCCTGATTACTCCTTTTGTTCTTGCTCATATGTTTCTGTTTCTCATTCTTCTTCACCCAGTAACTCCTTGTGTCTTAGTGGCTTTACTGCATCTTGCATGGGGTAAAATAAATTTGTTAAAAAAAAGAAAAAAAATTGTCATTTTATTAATAAACTCATGTTAAGTAATGAAATCTTGGCTCATTAAACAGTTTTACCTTCCAAAAACAATTTTTGTAGCAATTGTTTTTAAACACCATTAGTGGTTTTTAGATTAAATGGATAATATTTACAATTAATTAATTTTTTTAGAAGATAATTAAGAATGAAAAACTAACAGATCAGAATATATCAAATTTAACAAATTTTTTAAAACATTTTATTAAATTTGAGCATATTTTTTTTTTATGCTAGTTGTTAAAATTTAATGGTAAAGTTAAATTTACTTGAGATAACTCAAGGAAAGAGGCTATAAGTTCATAAAGATATGAGCTTTGATTTCTTTTTCTACCACATTTGCCTATTTTATTCATATCTGTATTCACCTTGAGGAACAAATTTAGTTTATATTACAAAATCAGCTCCTCCAAATACTTTGCTTTATATATATATATATATATATATATATATATATATATATATATTGAAATCAGGTGAAACAAATGCATACACCAGACAATCAACTTCATTAGCCATATTTTTTTTAATCATTTCACCCAAAACAAGATGATAATGCCACTAAGATGCAAGGGATTACTGAGAGTGAATGAAAATAAGATGTTAGTGAAAAGAAAGGACAATAAAAGAACATGGTTCAGGAAGACAGAAGATGGTAAATGATGTTGTGTTTAAACTTTTGAAGTTCTAGATGACAGGGAAGCAAGAGATCAGAACAGAGTTGCATAGGCAAAAGGTGTGTGAAAATAAACTATTAGAACTTATGTTTACATTTAGCTATTTCAACAGTAAAATGATGAGACCTAATTGCCAATCTAGTAGTATTCTTAAATTCATGCAGTTAAGATACCAAAGAGGAAAGCTCAACTGCCATGAAAATATTTATAGAAAAGACACAGGGAAGCCACAGCATGGTAGTGGGAAAGTAACTGAAGTCAAGATGCCAAGTCAGGACCAATAAAATTAAAACTTTGTATTTTGTCAAGAACAGACACAAGGACACCAGATCAGATGGGACAGCAATATTCAATGCATGGACAAGTGGTAGATTTATAATGGTGCAAGCTGGATTTTGGTGAGAAAAAGTTACTATTAGAACATACAATACACATACAGAAATATCTTCATCCATGTTTCATAGATTATACATTGATTTGTTTTCTACAAATTTTCAACCTTTTGCAAACTAATTAACCCATAGCTGGAAGAGATGAGGTGAATTCATACCTTTCCCAAGGCTATTTGCACATAAGTGAATATAAAAAAAAAACAGTTCTCTGATTAATGATTCAGAGCCATTATGCACATCCAAGCTTACAGCACCTGGTGTTTCCAAGTGGTCACCTATCCAGGTACTGACCAGGCTTGACATTGCTTAACTTTGGTGATTGTACAGGAACTGGTGTTTCAAAGTGATATGGCCATAATCCCATACATTTGATAAAGTAAAAACTCCTTAAAATTCTAGGAAAGTTTGATTTATATAAGAAAGATATTCAAATAATCCATAAGCTGATCTGGGAACAAACAGTTTGTGTGTGGATAGAAAATTACTCTAGTGAATACCCAAAAATAGAAAGAGGTGTACAACAAAGGTATGTTCTCTCACTGGATTTATTTAACCGGTACAGCATGACAAATCTATGACGATTACAAGATTTATTACTGGATAACCATATGTTACAAAGATGACACTCTGCTGATTGCAGATTTGGAAAGAAAACTGAAGGAACTATTTGTTAGACAAGGTAGTCAAGGAAAGCAAGAAAAGACTAACAATTAACTGTAAGATAGAATGCATGAAAGTCTTGCAAAAGAGACAACCCAAGATGCCAGATGCATATTAGGAAGTAAAAAAAAAAAAAAAAAAATTCAAGCAGATATGGAAATTTAACTATCTAGATGATGGAAAATGTAACAGTGAAATCCAAGGACATATCCAAATAATAAAAGATCCTTTCAGAAACTGAGAAAAATTGAGTAATCTATTTGGGTTTGAGTAAATGCATAGCAAAACAAGGACTACAAACGAAAAACAGACAAAGAGCAAGAATTAAACAGAACAACAAAAGACAGGAAGTTGTGGAGAGCCATGTTTGCTACATTCTGAAGATGATACAAAGAGAGATTCTAGGTTTTCAGAACCACAATCAGCAATTCTTCTACTTCAACAAGGTATATAACTTATTAAGCAAGCTTAATAGAACATTACTAGTACAACCAGCAGATTAGATTCTTACTGAGTGTGCCATCACCACACATTTATGGCTTGGTGCCAAACTAAACTTACACACACACACTCTACTACATTTAACAAGACTCCGAGAGGTGTGTGGGTGAGAGAGATATATGTATAGCATATAATTGAGAACAAATTACAAAGAAAATGACATTAAAAAATATTCAATAATAAATCAGTATATTTATTAATGCAGCCTAAGAAGGAAATTTGTTCATGTTGGCCATCATGTCCATGATAGCAGCCCTCGGTGTTGTGAGGCCATAATAATCCAGATGGAGGTGACACGTAAAATAGGGAGAGGGACATGATCATAAAAATTACCAGCCCTGAGTCACATGGAAGGGAGCAGAGTCCAGCTGGGAAACATATGATCAGCCCTTCAATCCAGAGTTTGACCACTGTTTCCAACACTTTGCTGCAGGCAGACCCTACAAGTAGTAAGACAACATGACATAGCTGGCTTTGCTCACAATCCCCAGGATCATCACAGATGACTGAAACTTGGTAGGTATCACCATGGATACTTTTGTTGGGTCCATGTAGAGTAAACCTGATGTCCTTACTATTCAAGAAGAGAAACTGTGGCTGTAGGTTGGTGACACCAGTACAACATATTTTTTATATTGTACATCAGATTGAAAGATGGCATGTTATTGCTCTTAATACATTTCAAAGATGAATGAGAATTTGCAAATTTGGTGCATGCCATGTAACACTGCATTAACTCTTCTTACATACATGGCTTGTTGAAATACCTAGTACATCCCTACCTTTCTTTCCATATATATGTTATTTATTTATACTCTGTGTGTGTGTGTGTGTGTGTGTGTGTGTGTGTGTGTGTGTGTCTCCAAAGATTCATTAAAAAAAAAAAATTAGCATACAATGAAGGTCAATTTTACTGTCTTAGTTTAAAGACAGTAAAAATCGACCTTGCTAACCACACGCTTCTCTGTAGCCGAAACAGTTAAGGCACGTCAGGCTATATGACGGTTTCATATAGGATACAGGTTTGATTCCTGTCAGAGGACGAATATTTTCTATGAAAATTTCTCGGACATTCAGGCCATTAAATGTTGTTTAATACTGTTTATTATAAACAGAGCATTTACTTAAATATTTGTATCTACGAAAAGAATGTATAAACATAAAAATGTCTTAAAATAATTGTCGGACTTTGTCCATTTCATTATATATATATATATATATATATATGTTTCATAAATAAAAGCTCAAAGATATTATTTCAATAAAACATTTTTTCAATATCAAATCAAAAAATTTCTCCTGAAACCTTACAGAAATAATTCAATATAAATAAAATTCAAAAAATTTTTGTTGAGAGTCCTTGCTAGCTTGCATGATTAAAAAAATTTTTCTTTCAGATTTGATAGGGAAAAAATCTATGCTGAATACTTAAAGTTAATTGTGATTATTCAGTGATATTGAAATTCATTTGGTTGCTGATGACAGATATATGCTTGAAGAATCAAAAAATGTAAAGTTTAAATGCCATTTTGCATCAGAAATATTTATAAAAGAACTCTTTTTCAAGATAAATAGTAAATACTGAATAAATCATAGGATCAAATAGTGAAACAAAAGAAAAAGGGGGGAAAAAAGAAGAGAGAAGAAAAAAGGAAAAAAACGGGGATAAGAGGAAAAGAGAAGAAAAGAGGAAAAGAGAAAAAGAGGAAAAGAGAAGAAAAGAGGAAAAGAGAAGAAAAGAGGAAAAGGAAAAAAGAGGAAAAGGAAAAAAGAGGAAAACAAAAAGAGGAAAAGGAAAAAAGAGGAAAACAAAAAGAGGAAAAGGAAAAAAGAGGAAAACAAAAAGAGGAAAAGAAAAGAGGAAAACAAAAAGAGGAAAAGGAAAAAAGAGGAAAACAAAAAGAGGAAAAGGAAAAAAGAGGAAAACAAAAAGAGGAAAAGGAAAAAAGAGGAAAACAAAAAGAGGAAAAGGAAAAAAGAGGAAAACAAAAAGAGGAAAAGGAAAAAAGAGGAAAAGAAAAAAAGGAAAAGGAAAAAGAGGAAAACAAAAAGAGGAAAAGGAAAAAAGAGGAAAACAAAAAGAGGAAAAGGAAAAAAGAGGAAAACAAAAAGAGGAAAACAAAAAGAGGAAAACAAAAAGAAAAGAGGAAAACAAAAAGAAAAGAGGAAAACAAAAAGAAAAGAGGAAAACAAAAAGAAAAGAGGAAAAGTTTTTAAGTTGATTTTAGTTCATAGTTTGGCGGTACCTATTTAAAGAAAAACAATTTAACCAATTCACTTATGTCATAATGAAATCTTTGATTTTGTCCCCACCCTACGGCGAGGGGAAATGTGATATGTATTTGGTGAGTTTTATGAAATATTAATTTCATAAAAATAACATTCATTCATGTATTGCAGATTAACCAGTATTTTCATCCATCAAATTAATTAAAGGGGGGAAAAAAAAGACACAATTTTCATTAAGATTATAAACATTAAAAAGACAGGTGCTGCCACCCTCTGGATTTCGAAGAATCGCGGGAAAAAAAAATGAAGGTTGCATACATTTTTCAAAACTAATTCAGGCCAGAGCGACTTTCTCTTCCTGAACAGCTTTTATTCAAAAATAAGTTAATAACGAAATTAATCCATTACTGCATAAAGTTTCCTCATATAATAAGACAAAAAGAGGTAAACGATCAACACAAGAAAAAAAAATTAATTAAAATAATAATGCAGGTATCAGTCTGAAGTAATAATTATTGTATGAAGTAAAACTTTGGGAATCACGGATTTTAATAGCCCTGCCTCTTCTATTACCGAGTTCTTTTTTAATGCAACAAATGTTAATGCCTGTGTAATAAACCGACAGTTGATTTGTTTATTTTTATCTTGAATAAAGCAATAATGTCCATCCGACTGTATACATTTAGACATAAAATGTCAAACTTTGACAAGGCTCTAACCTTTTTGATTCGTGTATATTGTATTGTATTTTTGTATCTCATGATCCCACAGAAGAAACAAGAAAAATTAAACATCCTTATTCTGATCAGTTTTCTTTTAAACACGGACCAAATGCCCTTTAGTGAAAATAACCTAGAAAAACACAAAAGTTTCGAAAGACCATCGGTTGTGACTTGTTGAGAGTGATCTTGAAAATTAAAAAGAATTATTTACAAAACCACACACATAGAGAGTAAATTACCGACCCTCTGAAACCAAAGACGAGATGCTGAAAGTAACATCAATCAAAGCTAAGTGACAAACTTTTATATCGCCAATGTGTATTAGGTTCGGCTTTCAGGTTGAAATGAAGGACAAAAAAAGAAAATGCATTGAGAATTTTAACTTTGATGAAAAGAGGGGCAATAAATTCAAAGAAATCATTTTTTAAACAAAAACAAAAAAAAAACAAAAACAAAAAAAAACAAAAAAAAACAAAAAAAACAATCAGAAAATCAGGAGTAGTGTGCATTTGACACTGCTATATCATCATTATCATTGATAGCTGAATATTGTGGGCTCTTTTGAGTGCAGACATTTTTTTTTTTTTTTTTTTTTTGAGGAGGAAGAGGTTGCACAAATATTTCTTTTAAATAATAAAAAAGGGATGTATTACATTTTTAATTTAAGAACAAACATTTACAATAAATTAATTTATAAAAAGTATGTATTCACTTAATCTTCATTTAAGATAAAAAAATAATTATGAACCTCAAATGCTTGTGCTTCCGAAAAAATCCTAAAGAAAAAGAGATTTAAATTTTTTTTAAAAATTCAGAAAATTGAAAAATTCAGATATCAATGATACAGGGTCAAACTTGACATTTGTAAATAAAGAACTAAGCGACTTTAAACGTAAGGCCAATAACTCCGTAAAACTCAGTGATCGATTTAACTGTGTAGTGTCAAGACTCATTTAAAAATCGATAACAAATCAATATTTTTCGATTCTGACAAGTGTCGCGACCTAAGGAAGACTCTGAAGAATTCTAATTTACAAAAATTAAAAAGATTTCCTTATGAGCGAACCAGTCTAAGTAAGTGTTTTATTTTATCCACGTCAAATTTGTTTGAAATCTCACCAGAAAAAAAAATTTAAAAAAAAATGCTATTTCATAATTTTAGGGGGAAAAAATAAAGATGTACTTTCAACACACACACATACAGAAACATCCTGGGCCCGACCCACCTTCCAAAATCTATGCAAA